AGAGAGAGAGAGAGTCCCGGGCGACGGCAGCGCGCACGTGGATATTACACCACCACATCGAAAAGGGGACTTCGGCGGGGGTTGGTGGCGTACGTGGGGGTGTGTTTGGTGGTTGCATAGGGCGCACTAACTAATACACATACACAGATACGTACAGCTCCCTCTGTGGTGTTGGTTTATATTAATAAAATATGGATGCAACTTCCGGTTTTGAAATTATTGGCGCAGTGAAAAATGCACACACACACACATGGAGCACAGAGTTCACATGTGAGAGAAAGAGAAAGATTTATATACATATATATATATATATATATATAAAGGGAGAAAATGAGTGAGGTTATGTATATTGGGGGAAGGAACTGGGGATGGTGGTGCTGCAAGGATGGATAATTACACACAAACATACACCCACTCACCCCCGCAACAAATACACACACACCCACATGTACATATGAAACTAGGGTTGAGGGATGTGTGTGTGTGTGTATGGATGGTTGCATATATGTGTATACATACACGAAGGGATGATGATGATGAGGCGAGGGCGAGGTGAAAACCGGAGGGAAAAAAAAGGGTTTTTCATATGTGTATTCATGGGGGCAAGGCGGCGGGTGGAGGACGAGGAGGGTTAGTGTGTGTGTGTGTTAGACTCGAACCAGGAAGAAGGAAAAGGACACAAGGGTGTGCGAGTTGAAAAGGGACACAAAACAACGAACGATGAGGAAAGAGAGAGAGAGATGAGAGAAAGAGCTTACATAGATACTTGCACATATAAAAAGTATTGATTCTTCTTTTTTAAACCTCGAATATTCAGGTTTTCCTCCTCCTCCTTCCAATCCACAAAATATTATATATTTGTACGTGTGTATACAAATAAAAACCATTCATTGGACATCACCTAAAACAAACAAACAAATTAGATTGAGATCAAATGAGAAAGTCTTCAAAACAATAAATTAACTTAAAATGTTTGCTAATACAACAACTACAAACTACAACAACAACAAAAAAACATTAATTAATTCTAGAGAATTAATAGTCAATTTTATGTAGCTTAAAGACAAGAAAATAACTATAATCAATGATAAATTACTTCTTCTGCAAAATAAAAAAAAAAACTGGATGAGGAAAAGCAGGAAACAAAGAGGGTTTTATATAAAAAAAAAGCAGATGATGAAGAATACGAAATGAAAAGGAAGAATCGATTAAATTATTTCAGCAAGTTTAAGCACTAATGAAATGTAATTATGCAAAGATGAAAAAAATGAACGAGGGGAGAAGCGAGAGAACTAATGAACGTCTTTAACACAACTGTTGCCTTTTCCTCCATTGAGAGAGTTCACTTACTTAAGCTAAAACGTTTATCGATTGCAGCAACCCTCGTAAATACCTGATGTTCGATGATTACAATGATGATGATGGCAGAAGGACTGGACATTATGTATGTAAAGGACGCAAAGAAGACGAAAGAAGAGGTGCATCTTTCGCACGCAATTAACTTATGTTTTTTTTTTCTTGCATAACAATATCGTCGTTATCGAAGAAGATGATTGGTGAGCGGAAGAGGAACAGAAGCTAGTGGAAACAAACAGCAAAAAAAAAAAGTTAGTGGTCTGGGACAAAAACGAAAGGAAACAAAAGCGCAACAACTACACCGACCGAATGATGTGACAGATGTCAAAGGCCCCGAAGATAGGTTAAAGGGATACGAACGAACGAAATGCAGTAAAGTATTGGAGTGCGC